CAATTACTTTTATTTCGTATGGAAGTACATAATGAAGAGATTCGTTGATCAATCTCCAAGACGACGCCAGCTGGTTCGTGTTGTACTGAAGCCATTGGTCTTTAATATTACGTTCATGTTGATGCAGTCCACGAGACATCCTCCAGCGTTCAGGCGAAGACAGGCTGAGCTTTTCTTCGTCATATGACGAACATCTTCAGAGCTGGGACTCATTCTTACAAAAGGTTAATGTTAGCACGAATTCAAGAAGATTGACCGGCTTTTGTCTATATTATATATATATATATATTCAATGCAACTAAAATGTAAGATATGGATGGATATACGAATTTTTGGCTGATTCACGTATACTTTTGTGTTTTAGTGTGTATTTATTCTAATCTCTGCATGCAAAACCAGTCATAATTGAGAGTAATTAGAAAAAAGCTTAACTTTAGCCCTGAGTCAACTAGGATTGCATTGGTCCGTAATTAGCCCTGATTGAATTGATGGGGTGTAAGACTTTACAAGTGAAAACAGGGTTACAAAACCGACAGTCCGAACTTGTTTGTCTGGGTTATTAGGGTTTAATTGGTCAAGAAGAAGGATGGTTGGGATTGTTTACTCCTGCTCGTCTATTTTGGTTGATGAGCTTGGCTGCCTGTTGAACGAGTGTTAATTTGGTTAGAATCATCATTCAACTGACACGTTGTATCGTGATCATTTGGCCTGCGGCTCAACATCCTCTCTCACTTTAAATGAAGCTTATGTAATTCTTACTCAACGTTCGATCACCATTCCTCACATTCAACTTATTCCATATTCTATTAATTTCAAAATCCTTTCTTATCTTGCGTTTGGTAGCAGACATACCATAATCGGAAAACCTTTGCCTATGAGAACATTCTATCTCATGGTCAGGCTCCGCCCTGTCTTCAGCGACTTGTGGCCGTTCAACCCAGCTGCTTCTGCAAGCAGCTTCTTGCTCTGCTAATCTTTTTGGGTTGACTCGCAGGTCTTAACAACATAAGGCCGACCAGACTAGTACATAATCTTGTAACAGTAAGATCTTGATAATTGGTTATATTTCTCTTCAAAAGAAGGAATAACCGAAGAAAATGTTTCTTTGAAAACGGTTGTTACACCCCACTTCCTCACTGGTTCTATCTTTTTGGGAAGAAAACATGACTGCAAAATTAGAACATGAGAAAGGGTCTCAGCCTGCCTATCCTTGACTAAGTAGTCTCCGCTTGAAAATTTATTCCCCATTATTATCAATTAAGCCCAGATGTCAAACATTCCTTCAAATTCACATCTGCCTTGGGACCCAAATACATTCATGGCATTGTTACTTAGTTGCTACCTTGTCGAGTTTACACGCTGCATTATTATGGTTCGACTCCCACTAGGCAAGATCGAAACTGCAGTCCACCATTGATGAGACCACGTTTTGGGAAAGCAAGGCTATGTGAAATTCAATTGAAACGTCAGCTACACTCATATCATGTTGGGAGAAATCAATTACTAGTCCTTCATCACTTTAAATACAACTCATATATTTGATTTACTGGTAGTCTCGAAAACCTCCTCAATTTTCTAATTTCTCTCAATTTTGACTGGTTTTTGTATGCAGACATCAGCATACACACACCGAAGCACTAGAGTATACGCGAATTAATCAAACCTTCCTATATCTATCTATATCTTACATTTGATTGCGTTGAGTATATATTATATATATAATAGTGATAATGATTTTTTCTGTGACATTATATATTCTAACCAAACAGCAATTGGCTCGATGGAAAAAGCATGAGTCAAACGTTAACGGCCGTTGCTAGGATACGTGCTCTCTGTAACTTAACCAAAATTATGAAACGAAATCTAGTCAAGTC